AACTTCTGATGGGTTCCAACTAGATACTTATTCATCAATAACCAATTCCAACTAGATACCCATTCACCAATAACCAACTTCTGACTCCAATATCGCCTATTATTAACGTTATTTAAAGAAGCTGTTTTCTACACGAATGGAATATTTATGGGATTTATCAGATTATGATATGATAATCTCAGTTGTATGTATTCCATTAGAATTTCCGATCACTTAGAAAGTGTGCTATGAGAGTTGAATTAAAAGATTAGCAGCAGTCGTGTATTCTATAGACGAGCACTTTGTTTTACGAGTCATATCAGGAAAAAAAAAATCCAAAACGTTAGACATACGGTTTACATAAATTTTGTTTTTGTAAGAGTATTAAATAAGAAAATGTGTGTGTGTGTTGTGTTTCCCTTTACCCCCTTGTTATTTTTGCTTATAACACCAAAATTCTAGGTTCGTTCAATCCTTGAAGTGGACACAGTACAAAAGGCCCATTGTGTAGCTTTGCACTTAAAAGCAAGGAAACAATTTTAGAAAGAAATGTCTAATAATTTCACAATGAAAACATTGTATCAATGTTAAAAAAAATCTATAAATAAAACAAAACAATATCTCCCTGGTTAAAGTTTGCAGGATTACGCCTGATATATAAGAAAGAAAATGTTTAAGGTGTTAGCAGTCGAGTGGTCGGGTAATCAATGCTCAGAATATAAATTTAGACTTCTGATATAAAGTTCAAAAGGCGACTGGTTGAATTTAATTTGAAATTGTTGTTGTTTGTTATTAAGTACAAAGCTACACAGAGGGCTATCTTTGCTCAGCCCACCACGGGTATCGAAAACCGATTTTTAGCAGTAAAAGTCCGCAGACATACCGTTGGGCAACTGGAGGGTAATTTGAAACTGAAGACGCAATATTATTACATTCCTTTGACCCATAACGAATTTAGAGCTGGCGCAGGAGATTGAAAACAATAATGGTGGATTCGTCATAATTTTGACTCGTGATGGATAATATATCATCTATATAAATCTATTTTGTCTATAGAAAACGTTGTTTCTATCAAACTAAATTCTCCCAGTGGGTCAGCGGGGAGTTTCGGACTTGCATTGTTAATATCTGTGATTCGATTCCTCGCGGTAGATAGAGCGAAGACAGCTTACTGTGCAGCATTGCATTAAAGCCTGAGGAATGTTGTAATGGTTAGAAGTTTCCAAGTGAAGTAAAATATTTAGAAATAAAAAATTATGACTACTGTGTCAAGTTTGGATATTCTAATTCCAAATTGGCCCCTTCTCTTTACCGAATTATACCTTTAAAATAAAAAGAAATTAGTACTTTTAATATATATATATATTTAAAAAGCAGTAATATGTCACAATACAAGTTACGTATGTGTGTGTGTATACTTTGGTATAACTTGCTTTTCAGTTTACCAAGTTTGGAAAAGCAATATACAGTTATATATATATATATATTGATTTTATTCTTGATATGCTCATAATCTATTTATATACTCTGATGATCACCTTATAACGTGAACAATTCCATTATAATTTAGTTGAATATAAAATTCCGCGAAACAATATATATGATATTTTTAGCTAGGGATGGAGATTAACGAAACATGTGAATTTACAACTAGGGTTGGAGATTACTGGAATGGAATATATGACACTCACAGCCGTGGTTGGAGACTACTGAAATAGGGTTGGAGATTACAGAGATAAATAACACAGTTAGGGTTATAGATTACTGAGATATACAGCACTTACAGCTAGGGATTGAGACTACTGAGATACATGACACTAACAACTAGAGGTGGAGATTACTGTATAAGAAATACTGACTAAATCTGTTGTATGAAATACATAAACATTAAATTCGTATGATAATATTTGGCAAAGACCAACAGAAATATTATTCTGAACTCCTCTTGTTATTTGTGTTAACTAATGCTAGAAACGTTAAATCCAGTTATATTGTAACTAGACGCAGGGTTCCCGAAAGCGTTCCGCTTCAAGTCAATAAAACCAAAATTAAGAGTAACAAATATTTTTATTTCTTGTTTTTGAAGTTCACATGTCATGATGTGTTGTAGCTTACAGAGTACATATTCTTCTAGTGATTCATGGCATACGCGCGTTTTACTGACGTTACGACAGTACAAATTGCAACGTTAAGCGTCCCTTATGTGACGTCATTTTAGTGTCTACTGACTGACTGACAGACAACACATTACTGTATAGTGGTGCGAGTGATTAAAACAGGTGACTCCTCCAGGCGGCCTTTGGCCCCCTTTCGGGGAAATAATGTGTACATTAAGAGAGTGACTCTTTTTGTGTTAATGTGTTGTGCTGCTACGTATTCAACAGACAAAGAAGTAAAAGCTTAAACGAGTAAAGAAAATATGATGAGACGTTCTCTAAGCAGCAGGTTTTTTATGAACTCTAATGCAGATTTTAATTAAAAGTATGTAAGAATAGCATATGGGAATTATCCTTTATGTGTTAAAAATTATTTCTCTTTTATTTTAGGGGGGATAAATGAAGTCGTTATTTTGCTTTAACGAAGTTTATTTATATAGAATTTTCAACGCCTATAATAATGCCTATCACTCATACATGGGGCTGGACGTAGCTCAGTTATTAGCTTGTTTGAGGTTTCATGGTTCGCTTCCCGTTACCACAAAAGTGCGCTTCACATAGGGAATGTGAGTGTGTTATAATACTGACGGTCACACAAGAGCACCCCAAAAGTTGGCGGTGGGTGATCTTGATTAGCTGCCTTACATAGTCTAGCTGTTCAAAATCGGGAATGTCTATACGCAGACACGCGGATAGCCCTTTGTATAGGTTTGCGCAAAATTTTTCAAACAAACAAACTTTCACGTATGTACAAAGTTTCGGCTTTTAAAACCATCCATGAAATCATTATTGTTTGTTAAAAAAAGTTGAAAAAAATTTCTTAGAAAGCGGGATTATCAAATTATATCAAAATCGATACCCAATATAAATAATACGCATGCGTAGCACCAATCAAAACCCGTGGACATTTCTCTAAATAAATAATAAAAATATTTTTAAGCAAGATATTCGCGCGGTATAATTATTGAAATAGCTTACAATGCCTTAAAATTAATATATATCTAACTGTCAAATATTTTCTTTTTAGGCAAATTATGATTGCTATGATTTATATATCCCACTATTCGTTGGTAAAAGAGTAGTCCAAAAGTAGGCGGTGGGTGGTGATGACTAGCT